GCATTTACGACCGAACGATTCGAAATCGAAACAGTAAATGCAGAGGATAAATCTAACAACGCTGGTCGATTATTTACAAATTATTAAATATCTTAAGAATGAAAGTAAAGGTTCATTTAACTCCTGCTTGTTGTAACCGTGATAGAACATTTTTATATTTTGCGTAAAGATCCACGGTCTACGAGTTGCGCTATTGGCATTATCGTGCTGCTGAAAGTTGTCGATTGGCGTTCAGTCATCAACGAAACTAACGAACTCGATATCGATCGTGTTTCTAATATTTTCTACCAGTGCTCCGGTGCAGTATTAAATAACTACTATATATGTTTCAGGAATGCGATTGGGTCTTATGCAATCGAAGCTTGGGTTGATGAAGATGCTGAGCAAGTATGAGGTAACACCTTGCGACAAAACACCTATACCCGTGGTTATCGACCCGAGAGGACTCACCACCACGGCACTAGGAGGATTATACTTAAATGTACGAAAGATCAGCACAGAAGCTGGTTAATCACCTCGATCGCATGTAGGTACTTAACAAAGGATTTAACTACTATTAAACCCTGCTCTTTATGTAATACGTTAAGCTGTACGTAATTGTTATACATTATTTTTCTAAAATTTGTACAACAATAAATTTTCAAGTTTCATATTCATGTGTATGAAATACTGTATAGTCGTACAGTTGTAATAAGTCATTTTGTATAATGAATAAAAGGTGGATTGGATGTGTGAAATTTGAATAGACTGTACTTTGCGATATTATGTTATCCAATGGAATACGCCACGAAGACTATGAAGTACGCGGTATGAAGTATGTAACAAGTTAGAACGTTTTGAGAGTTCAGGTTTGGTGTTACCATAACTTGTACATTAATCGAATTCAGTTAATTTATAGTATTACTATTATATCTAAGTGAACTTTAACGGGTTAGTAGATTTAACATCCAACAATGAAATTAACATTTTCAGATCTATTTATTTTGAAAATATTTTGCATCTTTCAAAAAAAAACCTATCCTTGAAAATAGATCCAGGAATCATTGTTTTCGTTACGCAGTTTCATTACAAATATCGATTTCAGAGAAAGTTCCTCTCAGTTGCAAAACACAAAGTGAGATACGAAGGAGATCTGAGGTTATTAATTCATGTAAGCATGGAAAT